TGAATGATTAACCACCAAATCTGAATGAAAAAATACAATATTTATTTTAAAATTCCCAGAAGCAGTGTTTCACTACCTAATTGTAAAAGGGAACATAGACTATCCCTCAAATAGCATCTTTAATCTGCAGTGCTATTTTAAACTATCTCTGCCTAAAACATTTGAAGCAATTGCAAGAAGATTCCTCAACACTCACAAAAATCCCCTATTTTAAACTTGGTTTTGGAGCAGAATTTTGTTCTTCAGTAATGGTACTACCATCAGACCATTACCTAAGAATGAAGAACAAAAGTAAAACATTAACATCTTTAATCTCTGTGAAGTTTTAAAAAATCTTGCAGTTTCTTTCTTGACACAATCTGCCATTTCCTTCTAAAAAGATAAACCCTTGATTTTGCTTTCTAATCACTCGCAGCTATGCAACATTCTTGAACTGCATATCACCTTCTGCCACTTGGTCAGCACATTCTGATTTCCTCTCACATCTTTTTAAAATTCCTCAGCCTCACAGCTCCTTGTATCTTTTCTGTGAACTTTTCTCCTTTGCTTCACATTTCTCTATCCTATTCTGTGAAACATCCACATGATTAATGCTGGTTTAAACCCATTCAGAAGTGCACCTGTTCTGTCCCTGCACATGTCTAGATCATTCATGCTGTAAAAACACATTCTTTTTTCCTTCCAAGATTCTCTACGATTTTTAATATGCTGTATTACACAGGAGATGCTGTTAATATACTGGACACACTTCCCAGTATATATCTCCACTTAACTGTGCTATGTATAAACAGGAGGATAATTTTGCTAAATATTTTACCCACCACCTTTCCCAACTACCCACATAAGTAAAGTAGCTTAATAATCCTTTTTTAAAATACTGACGTTGTTTTGTCAAGAAGTACGACCATGTGTTCCCTGTTTGCAAGTAGGGGAAGAAAGATGAAATTTAGATTCCATACTTCCTAATGTGGATTCTTTTGCTGTTCCAGTTATATGCTGAAATGAGTTACTATGAAGGTTTATGGCACAAGCCCTAGAGGGCACTAGGAAGCCACCTGGAGGGCCCACGATTGGTAATCACTGGCTACTTGGGAGCCTGAGAGTTCAACTACCAAATTCAGTAAAACATTTCTTTTTTTCAAATTGAGCCAGTCTCCATTTTATGTGATTACTATGTTTCTGCCTCCTACAAGACCCTATCACAGACTGACAATGAAGTGGGTTCCCTTAACTTCCTGTGAATTAAAGCATGCTCATCCCTTCATGATTTGCTTATCCCAAGAAACATGGAAAAGTGGCACTGACTGCATATTTGGGTCTAATCCTACATTGCTTGAGTATTTTGTTGTCAATCTTCATGAGTCAAGAAATTAAAAACTACACTTCTTTGCATTCTTCCCCTGGTATCTACTAACAGACCTCATTTATGTTGCATTAATTATGTTACTTAGCTAACACTATATTCAAGAATGCTAAGCTGCCCAAGAAAAAGAAAGTATTTGTAATAAAAACCTACTTTGTGTGTTGATTTATTTCTATTAAATACAGTTTAAATGCCTAGTCCTCACAAAAAAAAAATAAATCAAATACCTTCTCCAGGTTTTGAAGTACAAAGCTACACTCTGTAACGAGTTTATGACACATTAATACTCAGACCAGCAGTCTACTATCACACTCATGATGAAAACCTCCCTCAAAGCTGGCCCCGAGAACAGCCAGTATATCACATAGCTGTTGTTGTTGCTTTGTTGAATTTGGACCTCATTCTGTAATTCAATTTGTAATACATTACTGATAATTTTGATGTACAGTAAAAGAACGGGAACAATTACAAAATTGCACCAAACTACTTTTATATTTTCTTCTTTTTTGTTTAAGAAAATTAAATCCAAACCCTTCTACTTAAATAATAAGCTCATATTCCTTTTCTGCATTATTAAAACAATTTTATTAATGTTCAAATAAGAAACTTGAATCTGAGGATTTATGTATATTTCTCTCTTGCAGTGAGGGCTCATTGATTGCAACATGATTGCCAAGGAGTGTTACTGCTGGCATGGGGTGTGATTTGCTGCCCAACACTCACTGACTGTATTCTATCAAATAAATAAGTGGGAAAAGAATGGTAAATAAATTGTATACATAGGGAGTGTGCTACTTTTCTTGCCTATTAAAATATTTTTATAAAGTATTTTACCGGAAATAGCATAAGACAATTTAAGAATATTTTTCTAGATGTGGTTATTAATATGCTGAGGACATTGTAATTCTGTTCAATTGCATATTTTAAAAAGACACCTTATATATAGTTAATTTTGAAGCTATATTAGTACTCTTCTTTACCTTCATATTTCCAGTACTTCCATGGATTAGTTTTTGTTGAGTAAAATATTGCTTTAATCTGTACAAAAAAGGATATGTGAATGAAACCTGGTATCTAGTGAAAATTAACATGTAAGTGAAAAATAATTTTTTCTTTACCCATTTATGTAAAAAGTCAATGTCTGTAAGTGAATCATTTATGTGTTTACAAAGGTTTGGAGCCTGCTCTTCAACATTTTCTTCATATTGTGCTTGAGTAATGCTTTTGCAGATGAACAAATCTGGCTAGAGGGAGCAAATGAGCTAAAAATGAAAATCTTAGAATTTTTAATTTTTATATAGAAAGCAAGCTGGTCAAAAGAAAAGTATGGCTATTCCATTACTCTGTTCAATATGCCTATGACTAGATCTAATCACCGAAACACATTTCTATGCCCTACTGTTCACTTGGGCAGGGTCTCTACACCTGTCAGAGCTCACAGCTTCATATCCACACTTTGGACATCCCAGGCTGCCAGCAGGAATGTCATCTGCACAGCAAAGACCAAAATTTAAGTGTCTGCCTAAGAACCTGGGGAGTAAGTTTCTGCCAGAGGCAATAAAGCAAATGTAACTTGACTCAGTTGCTCATGACCACATGGTTTAGTGTCAGAAGTGAGGTATAAACCACATTTCACATGGGGCTGATGGAAACCTGTCCCTTTCTGCAACCAGAGGCAGAGGCCAGCTCGAGTTATCTTCAGACATCTCCACTGAACAGAAAGACAGATCTGTACTGACTGTTTGGGAAGACCCACCCATGAGAAACCCTAAATGTATTTTTCTTCATCAGTGAGCTTATTCTCAACCCAAAACAACAAATTTGACTGTTAAATAAAGTATCAGGGAACCTTCTGTAAAGAAAATAAGAAATACTGCACTATAATGTTGTCTGATAAACATTAAAAATTACATGAAAAAACTGTAATTTGCTTTTGCAGAATAAATTATAAAAATGAGCCCAAATTAACATAAATTGCCAAATCAGTTGTATCAATGGCACCTTTTTAATGCTTGTTGTAAGGATTGGTCCATTCCGTCACTCCTGGGGATGATAAAACCTTAAAACTAACATTAAGAAAACTGTAACTCATGAAATGGAAGATTTGAATATTGAAACACATATCTCATTAGTCTCATGCAAGGAAAGCATGAGGAAAACAAATATAAATATAAATATATACATACTGGTGTGCAAAGTGTTCTCTATTAAACTAAAGACTCCCCCTCCAAACCTTCAGTATTGCATATTTAGAATATACTTGGACTCACTATTTGACAGGGAGAGAATATTTATGCAGGAAGAGTATTCAGCTTTCTCAAAAAATAACTAACTTAGGAACACTCAAGTATCTGCCAGATGGTAACTAGTCAGAATCTGAAAATGTGGCCCACACATATGTATTAATACATACATCAAAATGTAAGTTCAGTAAGCTCACATTTAAAAACAAAGCTTGTTTATAAATCCTAATTCAACACCCTGCAAAGTGGTTTTTAATGAAAAGAATTGAAGTATCAGCATTTTAGCACAGAACAGGTGAAGGGTTAAAGGAAATACATTCTGCTTGCCCCTGGTTCAGATGAGCAAAATACACTGGAGTCTTTTAGGGATTAGAGGTAGAATGAGATATTGCTTCTGAAAATGGTACGAAGAGAATTTAGTTTTAGTCCATATCTCTGTATACCACTGAAAACTAAAAAGAAAAGCTCATTCTTTCTAGGAATTTTGTGTGCATAATTTTATAACCCTAGACAACTTTCTGTGAAATTTCTTACAGAGTAAAGAGACAGTTACAAACCCCTCATTTTGGAGGAACACATCTCCCTCTGCAGGTCTCTAGAGGCACCAGTCTTCCTGCAAAATTCCTAAGGCACTGAGGTTGAGAGACTGCACTGTGCCTCCTTTAGGACTGCACCCTCCCTCACAAGTCTGAGTTTTACATTTCAGAGACACGCTGCTTAGGATACACATAACTGCACAAGACAAGAGTAGGCTGTATTATTTGGATCTTCTTTCCAATTTGCTTTTGTATGTGATTTGCCAAAAGGCTGCACTATTTAATTTATTCTCCTTAGATGTTTGATATCAGCTAAGTCAAACTTGGAACTCACACTGGGCAAGTGTCAATGGAACTGCCGGGCCTGCATTTACTTCCATGCTTTTAGCTGCTACTCTTAAACTTTCAGAATGTTCACGTATCTTTTTTGTACCTAGTCTTGTTAACTTCTGTGTAATTTTCTCTGATTCAGCTAGTCAAACAACCCAGTCTCTAATTAAGGTATTAATACTTGCATATTAATCTATTTTGAAAACATGAATCTATATAATGTAGCTGAAATAGATATATGGAAACAGAAAAAAGTCAAAATAGATTCCTTAAGGGTTACACAATACAGCGATGACAGTGACAGAAGTATTTTTCATGGCATAAGAAAAAGTCTCTTATGATACTTTCTTAATTTATGTTGACTAAAGCTTGCATAGAAATAGGCAGCTCCTTTATTCTGGTATTTCTTTCATAAATGTTTATGTAGCATGATCAGTGCTGTAATACCCTATTTTTAAGTCACCTGAAATGCAAGGGATACAAAACACTTGCAGTATTAGAGTAATTGCATTATTAATCGATCTTCTGTTAGTAATGGAACTTCAGAGGCAGTGTCTGTATTTATTTTATAATTTCATTTGAATTACTTTAAGACAGACGGAGGTATTGTGTTTGCATGGCCGGGTTTTGGTAGCAGGGGGCTACAGGGGGGCTGCTGTGGAAACTGCCAGAGGCGTCCTCCTTGTCCCACGGAGCCGATTCCAGCCGGCTGCAGGACCGGCCCGGCGCTGGCCAAGGCCGAGCCCATCGGAAATTGTGGCAGCGCCTCTCTTACCTGGTAAGAGATTTAATAAGAAAAAAAGCTGTTGTGCAAATGTAGTTGTGAAAATGTAAATGATATTGTGAGACTATGTGCGAGCAACATCTCTGCAGGCAGCCAGGCCAGTGAGGAAGGAGGGCGTGAGGAGATTCCCCGCAGCCCAGGAGACACGGGGGGATGCAGAGCTCCACCTGCAGCCCGCGGAGCAGCCCCGCCGGAGCAGCGGGATGCCCGAGTGGAGGCTGTGACCAGAGCCAGGGAAAAGAAGGCCGGGCCCGTTACCGTGTCACGGGAGAGGGCCCGGGAGCCGCCCCGCAGCGGCAGATCCCGGCTGGACGGCGCCGAGCGGGCCCGAGCCCGCAGAGCCCGGCCGGCAGCGCAGGAAGTGACGCGGCCTCAGGGCGGCGCTGCCCGGCCCGGCCCCGCTCCGCCCGCCCAGCTCGGCCCGGCCCCGCCGCTGCCCGGCCCGGCCCCGCCGCTGCCCGGCCCGGCCCCGCTCCGCCCGCCCGGCTCGGCCCGGCCCCGCCGCTGCCCGGCCGGCCCCGCCCGGCCCGGCTCGGCCCGGCCCCGCCCGGCTCGGCCCGGCCCCGCCGCTGCCCGGCCGGCCCCGCCCGGCTCAGCCCGGCCCCGCCGCTGCCCGGCCCGGCCCCGCCGCTGCCCGGCCGGCCCCGCCCGGCTCAGCCCGGCCCCGCCGCTGCCCGGCCGGCCCCGCCCGGCCCGGCCCCGCTCCGCCCGGCTCGGCCCGGCCCCGCCCGGCTCGGCCCCGCCGCTGCCCGGCCGGCCCCGCCCGGCCCGGCTCGGCCCCGCCCGGCTCGGCCCGGCCCCGCCGCTGCCCGGCCCGGCCCCGCTCCGCCCGCCCGGCTCGGCCCGGCCCCGCCGCTGCCCGGCCGGCCCCGCCCGGCTCGGCTCGGCCCCGCCCGGCCCGGCTCGGCTCGGCCCGGCCCCGCCGCTGCCCGGCCGGCCCCGCCCGGCTCGGCCCGGCCCCGCCCGGCTCGGCCCGGCCCCGCCCGGCTCGGCCCGGCCCCGCCGCTGCCCGGCCGGCCCCGCCCGGCTCGGCCCGGCCCCGCCCGGCTCGGCCCGGCCCCGCCCCGCCCCGCCCGGCCCGGCCCCGCCCGGCCCTTGGCCTCCGCCTGCCCGCGGCCCGGCTGCGAGCGGAGCCCCGCGCTGGTGCGCCCGCAAAGCCCCCGAGCGGAGAAAGCGAATGCGGCCCCGTCTCCCGGGAGGCAGAACCAGCTTCTCCTGTTCGCTGCCAGCCGCCTGTTGCTCCGCAAATACCCTCACTCCTTCTAGGTGTTCTCATTTGATAGCAGTAATCTCGTCCGTAGCCTCTTCCCCACCTTTAGCCAGCCTGCTTGCTGTTGGAACATCTTTCCAGCTGGATGAACAGATCCTTAATCCTAGTTAAAAGTGCTGTTAAATTGTAGGTATCAGTGTTAGATCCTCACTGGAGAGTTCACGCAGTGCAGGTAACCGAGGTGAAGAAACATTTCCCCCCCCCGTGACTTCCCCATGTTTCAGACAATACTCACAACGCGGCACCAGCGCAGTGACTCCGCTACACACGCACCGTCCTGAACGTCTCATCTCTGGCTACAAACAGGCTGGGAGACAGAGGTGGATGAAGTTTAGATGGATTTTTAAAGCTGCATAAGAATTAGGAGAAAATGTGGAAGAAATAGAGAGTGGTGGCTCTGAAGGAAGAAGAAGAAAAAAATCTGGGCAGTTTGTGGCTGCAGGCTAGAGGAAGGTGGTTCAAACAAGAATAAAAGCCATTATGAATGGCCAGTTTCCTTTCATCGCAATAAACAAACTTTGACATTCTAGTTTTTGTGTGGTTAGGAGACAATAGTATGATGGCCCAGAGTTAGGCATAATTTTCTCATAGTTTTCCTTTGATAGAAGTCAGTCAGAAAGTATGGACTAGGTGAAGAAACTATAAAGGTATTAATGTGAGTTTGAATGCACTGTTTGATGCTCTTTGACCTCAATAGCTATTAGCATCTGCATTAAAAATTCCTTAAACTTTTTTGAACTCAGATTACACCTGGAGAAATGTCAAATATTTTATATCAAATATCAACATAGCACAACTCTGTAAATATAGAAGCAAATAATTACTTATAGATAATGTAAGGAGTTTTAAACAGGATGATGTCTTCTAATGGAGTTGAATTTTGCTAGTTCAATGCCTATTCAATGTGACACATAATCTTTATGGCTCATAACTCACCATGATTAGATGAATAAAACCATTTCAAGTTCTGTGAGTCCATAGAAGTGCCAGGGATTCATATGCCTTTTAGAAAAAAATGTGCCTTTATTTTCAAGAATGAAAATAATTAATTGTACCTTTTCTGCAAGCTCTGGGCATTATTTAATTTCATCTACAGAAGAAATATGGGAAGTGATACAAACTTCCAACATACAATTAAATAATGCTAGATTTTTTTTCTCTTCTTTGAGCTCAAGCTGAAAAAGGGATAAACAAGTGATCTCTATTATAATAGTAGGAAAAGGGAAATTTAAGAAGTTACATATAATGCAAGAGATAAATCATGAGTACATTGACAGATGTCACTTAAATGAATATAAATGGGAGATTTCATAATTAAGTCAGATGTGCTGAGTAATTGTTTAAATTTATACTTGTAACTCTTTTCTTCTCAGAGGTTTTCTTTGGTTAGAAAAATAAAGGTAATTGAGTGAATGGCATAATTTATTACTTAGCTTCAAAAGACCATTTGTAAAGCCTGTCTTTTAGGTCACATTTCAACACTAATAATGTAGGCAAGAGTGCATTTTGGTTTGGGAAAAAAATCTAATTAGCCATTTGAAACAGATCACAAATATATTAGGCAAAAACTGCCAAAGATTGCATCAAAGTTTTTATGACATATAGGAATCACATCGCAGATTAGGCAAACTTATTTATTTATCCCATATATTGCTTTGATACAAATGAAAGGAGCAACTTTTATCCATTAGAAGTTCTGATCAGAAGATTCACATGTATTTATGAACTGAAGAACTCAACACTTTGTTTATGACATATTATGACTAATGCTGTTAGTTCTTTTCTTATTTTGGATTGCTGTTGATCCTAACTATTCTAACGAATGTTTTTATGTTAAGTAACTCAATGCTGCACACCCTAATTACCTACTGCACTCATAATAATCTTGTTTATTTAGAAATGTCTTTACTCCCTAGCCTGGGCAAGGACACCTATTGATTCTCTTAGATAATAATCAAAAACTGTTTGTTTATAATCTTCATTCTCCAAATTCCCTGAAAGTAATTTTATGATAATTTTAACCCAGTTAGAAGCTGCTGAAAATGGATTTGGAATGCTACTGATGCCAAATCTAAAAGAATAGTATTTATGGCGTAATAAACTACTGCTTTTAACCTTGCAAAATGAGTTTACTTCTAATCTTTGAAAATGAGATCCTACTTGCCTCTGGTTTGTGTCCCATCTCTCCAGAAGTGTTACTGTTTCACTGGCTGGGGATTCTGCTTTCTGTGCAAAGAACACTGTGGCACCACAAACCCAGGAAAAAAAAAAAAAATGCAAACCAGAAAACAGACATAAGTGGAACAAAGAAGTAGAGTAAGATTTGATTGGTTTGATTGCACATGAAGATCAAAGTATTTACCAAGCTATAGTTATAATTAAGCTATATTGGTCCTCACATTCATAGGCCACCCTGGTTTCACCATGCTGCTGCAAGTATTTTGTTAGCAGCATCCTTTCATAAAACTATTTGCAGTTATGTCATATCTAAAGGCCAAGGCTGTGAGTCAGGACTAAATTTATTTGTTGCCAGTTCGTATCAATTTCTTTTTGGCCAGCATTACCTTTAACCAAAGGAGCTCTTCTTGCTCCCTAGTATTTAATCTGTGATGCATTTTTAAGGGTCCCTTGTCAACCTTAGGTAATGCAACCTGTTAGGTAATGCAAGCCAAGAGCAGTTGTCTCCTCTTGTTAGACAGCCACCAGTGCCCTGATCATTCTAATTCCCTCTTGCTCTCCTTCCAGTCAACATCCTTAAGCAACAGTGAACACAAATGTATACTGCATTCCAGATTAAGTTTCACAAGTCATTTATTAAAGAAATATTTATTTTGTGTATGTACTCACTTGCTGTGTTCTAGGATCCTATTTGTCCTTTTGAAAGTTGCATCACATCAGAAACAACAGTGATTCTGCATGTGAATAGCATTTGTGGGTCTTCTGTCCTGATGGCTTCCCACAGCTGAGATTATGCTAGTAACAGAAATACTGACCTGCCACCAGGTGGATACCCTTCCATTTTGCACAGTTGAATTTCAGATAGTCACATAAGCAATTCTGTCTCTAGTCTTCAGATGTTTCCCATATGACATTAAAAAAATCTTCTTTAAATGCTGCTCAGCTCTCAGTTTTTAAGTCAGTAGCACAGCTAGTGTTGGTGTAATTACTGAAAATATTAAAGTCAGTCTTAAAATGGATCTTTGAAGTACTCTACTAGCAAGTTTCTTTCAGTGTAACAGTTTCTTTTAATAATTTTTAGATGTCTCTCCCCATCATCATCTTTTGTTCCTTGTTTTAATCCCTGTCTTCATTGGATTGGTAATGTCTTATACCATGCAGTATCAGAAAATTTATTTAGATATAGTATATCCTATAGTGACTTTATAGCAAATTCAGATAGTCATGCACAAACCCCTCTATGTCCAGGTCTGATATAGTAAGCTGACAGTATTTGGGATTCTGTCTCTGCATTACTAATTGAGTAATGCTTAATTTTCATAAAATTGTCCTTACCTATTAATCACAACTTGAAGAATGTTTGTTTTCACATATGGATAATGTCACTTTAGTTCTTCTTTGCAACAATGTTAATGCTTCCATTACACTAGAATAAATACTGAAACTCTTAAATTGCTAAAATCATATTTTAAAATTTCTGTAGATATTCACCGGAATATTTCAGGCTAAATAAAGATTCCATTCCGATTTGAGTTGCCAGTATAAAACCCTTAACTGGAGAGCATCTGTCCCTGATTTCCTCCAGTGAAAAATATTTCAGATTCAGGCTCATTGTTATAAATGCTTTTTTAAAATCAGCTCTTGTTGTATTAGAACTTTTAAAATTCAGATCAGAAAAAATAATTCCGTATTGTACACCTAGGCATGGTTAAGTATGTTAAGGAAAGGTTTGGTTATTTTCGCAGACTAGGACATCAGTCAGGATGAATTGATGTCATCCCTCCTCTCTAATGGCTCTACCTGTGTTATTTTTTCATGTTAAGACAGTGGAGTTAAATAGCTGTGATCCAACCTTGCCATAACAGTTAGCTCTGTGCTACATAAATGGAAACAGAGCAGGTTTTTAATTGTGATGAGGTAAGCTCTCTCCCTACATTTCATCAGGGATTTGACATGACTTGCTGAGCTGGTTATGTAGCATATAACCACAGCCCTTTCCCACAGGAAGGACTTGGCAGGGGAACAGCAAAGCTGGTAAATGTAATTGCCTGCTATTCCGTGACTCTCAACGCATGAATGATGAAATGTTTTCTGTGACACTCGCTTCTAGCTGCACAATGATGATTCCTCCTTTTGCTGCTTGTTGATGGCAGAAAGGCAGGGGAAGATGTGCACTGCAAGGCTGTGGAGGATAGAGGGGATGACACTTCCCATGGAATCAGTCTGTTTCCAAACAGTCCTTTGGTTGTGAGGCCACACAGGTAGTGCTGGCTGCTTGCTACCTCACAGGAGCATTTTTTCACTTCAAGAGTAGGCAGTATTGCACCTTCTTTTCTACCACAGTTATTTTATGCTTCCAGTTTTTATCAAGATTAAGCTATTAATAATATTTCCTGTAATTGTGAGTGGTGAGTTCCTGCTTCTGGTATTTCTGAATTGCCCATTTCTCCTACCTCCTTCACAGTCCTGTGTCCTTGCCAGGACTGTGTTCTGCTCTCAGTCTTAGCCAAAGGATCTACTTTCCTCGACCCTAAATTGCCATTAACCAACATGAAAGGGAGAGAAGTTGACTGATTTCCTGTAACTGACAAAAAATTAGCCATTGTGAATACTTTTATATCTCATGAGGTTTATAAAAATAGAGAAGATAACATTTCTAAACATCATACACATTATAAAATTTGTTTATGTAAAATTATTACCACATTATTATTTTTTTTTTCAGAAGAAACAGCATTGTTGATTCCCACCCCCTGTTTGTTTTCCTGGTTTCATCTTAAGGCCCTGTGCACAATGATCACTGCAAACTGCCATCTCGACTTCTGAGCAGAAATGTGAGGCTTGATCTGCGTCATCACTCACATTTAGAGACTCACTTATCAAGTGGGATGCCAACTGAGCCCTTGAGACATGAGCAAATGTCTATACTTATCACCAACAGCCCTTTTTCCACAAGCTCTTGCCACATGATGTCATAGCACTGGTTGCATCTCTAATGCCTGGTGCACCCATACAGTGAATAAAATTTTAATATATGCAGAAGCTGAACAACAAATTGTGAGGCAAAGGTCTCTGAGACATAGCCCTTGTTTTAAGCAACATTTTCACACCTCAGTGTAAATTTGGATATAGTTTTCCTCTTTTTAATGTTAACATTTCGGGTGAAATACACTAGGTGCTTTAGTTAATACTAACACTTAGGCCATCACAAAGCAGGTGGCATCAGGAGTAGAAAAAAGACACTGGGAACGGGAAAGGGCAGAATTGGTTCTTTTGGCAGTTCTGTTGCCTTGTGACATCTTTATAGATTCACTGACCATACCCCAAAAATGTTACCTGTAAATGGTAATTTAATGAAAGAAATTATATGATGATGATATGATATGATATGATATGATATGATATGATATGATATGATATGATATGATGATGTGGTGTGATATGATATTATTGATATGATGATATGATTGATATGATATGATATGATATATATGATAATCTGGAGGCAACAGAGGATGAAATTGATGTTTTGTTCAGTATGTTCCTTCTAGTTGAAGTGTATAGGCATTTCTTCCCTGTATTGGAAGATTCTTGACATATTTTTCTATTTTCTAATAATTTACAAATTTTTTTCCTTGGTATACCACTTCAGATTATTAATATAAATTCAACATTTCATCTCCCAGCTACATACAAAAAGTTATTAATTCATGAAATGCTTCAGTCAGAAATATATTTATCTGAAGGGCTGTTATGTCAGCACAAACAAAAACAAAACAAAAAAAAAATGGAAAGGCTAATTCAGTGTAATTCTCTACATAATTTTAACCAACTTCTTTCTTCACTAGCAAATGTTCCTGGTGATGTAATTAATTTGTTTCTTCTATGTCAATCATGTATCTACTACACATTAAAGTTAAAATTAGTTCTACTCTCATGCATTTCATTTTACGTCAGTGAATACCACTGTTGTTCCACAGCTGTTTTTGTGATTGTGGTTTGCCTTCTAAACAATCTAAACTATTCCTGGAATGTGCAGGGTAACCAGTGATAACAGTAATGTCAAGAGAAACTTTAACCACGGGAGATGTTTATACTTTATTACTGCAGAGATTGTTTTGAGATCTATTCTGTAAGAGCAAAGGACTTTACATTACCCTGTAATGAGTGAATCAGAAGCTCAGGAATATTACTCTGTGGAAAACAGTGAAGGGTATGTCCGTAGTGTGTTCTCCTCACTTTCCAAACACCTCTAGTGCTCGTGTGCCCATGACCTATGGGGAAAAGTGGACAGAAGTTGGAAATACAGGAGTTTTCTGGAAGTAACCGATACATGGGTTGTGTTTTAGCTGGGTCATATTAAAGGAAAATTTAGTTTTTTGTTGGAATTAACAGCAGTGCTACATGTAGCTGAAAGAAATGTTAAAGATCAATATTCTGGTAGTAAAAGGTACCAAAGTCAGAACCATGTGCCCCTGGCTTTTATAGAGACCTATTGCATTAAAGGCATTCAGATATTTTTTTGAAATTTCTATTTCACCAGAATTGTACTCATAGCACTTGATCATTCCCGGTCCTGCACCTGATGGTGGTGGATGTCCTTCCATGCAGGTGCTCAAGGCCAGGTTTTGAACAACCTGGTCTAGCAGAATGTGACCAGGAGCTAGATGATCTTTGAGATTCCTTCCAATCTAGGCCATTCTGTGATTACTCCCTGGTGTAGACCATGGTTTAGGATGTTATTGTTAAAACCTGTCAGATATCTAAGAAAATTACCTTTAGGAAGTGCTGATTCCTGGTAACTCCTGGTATGAGAGTTGAAAGCTAACCATGAGATGCTTGTGTGGCAGAGGCTCAATGGGATTTTTGTCACTGGTCATCCAGAGAGACTGGATTCCCCTCTGGCCAAGAATGTGTGACTAATTCTGGCTGCTCAGTTATGAAAAATGTTGATTGCATTACATTGTCAGTACTTAATAACAACACAGGTAAAACACACCAAGGTGAGCTTCTCTTTCCATTTACTTCACACAGGACATAATAAAGATATCAAAAGTAGTATACTATTAACATCAAGGCAGTGGTTACAATGTTTGTTTTTCTCTCTGTTACCTAGCAACAGATCTTGTTTGTATTTTAAGCTTATTAGTAAGCTTATTATGTGCATTTTAACTGAAAATTTAGGAAAGACATTATGTCTGCTTATAAGCAAAAATTGAAAAAAAGAAAATCTATCTGCTACCATTACAAAAACCTGCTGGCATATTTAGCATGTATTTCAGGATATTCTTTGGATTTCTATTCAGATAAACAAGTTTTCTTACTCAGAATCTTCTACATTAGAGCATCAGAATACTAGTACAAGGGTAATTTGGGCATAAAAAAACCTATTTCTCTCCTCAAATGAAGCACCACAAACTTCAAGTCATACCTCACTGTAACCAACAATCAGAATTAAGCAGCTGCCCACCCACTAATGTACCACTGTTCCAAATAACCTATGGTTTTGGAGAGGCAGAACAGTCATTAGCAGGAGTTTCTATATCCTAGAAGAAAGAAATTTGCAGTACTGAGCATTCAAAATGCAGCACTTGCTCCTGCTAGAAGTGCTCTTAGTCTGCTGCATCCATTTACTGTTCTGTAAGAGAAAGAGCTGCCTCTCCCTCCCCTCTCTCTGTTACCAGACTATTGAAGACTTTAAACCACCACCCTGTACTCAGCTCTGACATTTACTAGCAGACAGAACATTCACTAAACCAAACTACAGATAGCTTTTCTGAAAAAAAAAAATGTAGCAAAAAACTGGCAGCATTGATATACATTTTACATCTTGATAAATGACCAAACACACAATGAAGAGCAACTGGCATATTTTAAACCCACTTGGAAGGGGCAATTTCCAGTAGTTTTACATTAAATCTCCTATCAGTATATATATCAGCATATACATGTGAACTTGGAATATAGACATTGACAAGTTTTGACTAAGAAATAAAACTAGACAAGAATCTTTCCTTTGCTCCAAGCTTCCATTTCAAGAAGGAAAGATTTCAATTTACTGCTATTTGGTCAATATATATTCCCCTCTAAGTAATGATTAGTCCAGAAATAAAGACTCACTGACTGGGCTCACAAACTATATTTAAAACAAAGTTCTGAACATTCTGAAATACAAGAGTCACCCTGTAATTTCAGAGCAGTTGTAATATCTTATCCCACTCTAACAGGCTGCCAGAAATGCTCCTGGATAAGGCCCATCACCATTTGTTCTAAAGATATCAACTTTTTGGCTGGCTCTGTCAGGTAACTGAGGACATTTGAACTTTGATTCATTATCAGATATACTTCTTACATTTCAGCTTTGAAGGCAAAAATTTTGGATATGTATTTAATCTGTAAAATTTTACTAAAAAGTTCTCAATATTGAATGCAATAAACTGCTGTGTCTTATCCATAACAAAACAGATAAATATGAAAACATTTCCCATAAATATCCACATAACTTTGTATGAAGGATTTGAGCATTTTTTTCTCCAATATGCAATTTAGCTGAGTGAGTCATAATATGTTTTCCATGTAAAGAGAATGAAATTCCATATTGTGTTACTGGTTGCCCTGGAATTAACTGCAGAGACCGAGGATAGGAAGTATATCCCTAAACATTGATACAAAATACAACCAAAGCTCCAAAGAAAATTATTTCGGATATTGCAGTATATTGCAACTGATCTTCTTATTCTGCCTTTTTAATTAATGGAATTAAATGGAACGAGGAAAAGAAACTTTTCAGAATATCCAAATAAAGGGTTTTTTTTTGTTGTTTATTTGTTTTTAGAGTTGTACAATCTGTTTGGATTACTAAAACTTTCCTGAAGATACATGAGGCTGTGAGATGGAATCCAGAACTGTTTTTAAGTTATCACTTTGAACTTACATACGTCAATACCTTTTTTCCCATTTTGTTAGGAATGACTGTCTGTATTAGCATGTGATCATAGTGCAAACTGGTGTTTCTTGGTCAGCATACCAGTCAGAACGCAGTCAAAATGGAGAGCGTACAGATGTCATCATTGTCCCTGGACAAAGGCTTTATGACTTTTTTTATACCGCAGCTAAGGCTAGAAGACATGGCTTAATTTTAAAGTGCTACTACCGGCATTAATAAAACAATTATCAATGTTCTTGATGAGACCCATGTTCCAGAGCGTGTGTCTCCTGTTAACATGTGCCGGTTTATACCACGCACCTTTGCATGCATGTACTGCATTTCCCAGGGTGAGACTGCAGGTGGGCAAACAGCAGCCAGCGCCCAGAGCTGTCCCAGACGGAATGGATGCAATGACTTCTGTCCGTGCCCGCCCCGCAGAGCAGGAGCCGTGACACCGAGCACACGTAGGCCGGGGCAGGGCGGCGCTCGCTGACGTGCGGGCAGCCCCGCCTCCCTCCGCGCTCCCGCAGCTTCCAGAAGGGCCGGAGCCGCGGGGGGGCCGCGCCGGTGGCGCAGTCGGAATTGCTGCGGCCGCGGGGCCCGGCCGGGGCGGGGCGGGCGGTGATGCCCTTGTTTATTTTTACTCGGGCGGTTCATCCTCCTCGGCAGCCCCAGCGCGGCCCCCGCCGCCGCTCCCCGCCCCGGCTGCGACGGCGGCGCCGCCTATAAAGCGCCGCCCGCGGGGAGCCGAGGATGCAGCTCTACAGCTCCGTGATCACCCACTACCCGGCGGCCGCCACCGCAGCAGCCGCCGCGGCCTCGCCGAGCTCCGCCGCCGTCTTCAAGGTCTCCTTGTCGCCGGGACCCTCCGCCGCGGAGGCACCGAGCGCCGCCGACGCCGCGGGCCCGAACGCGGTCGCTGAGAGCTCCGGCAAGGAGAGCTTCGTTCCCGCGGGGGGCAGCAGCAGCGCCGCCGCCATGCCCGCCTTCTCGTCCTGCCTGGAGGTGATGCCGAGCGGCCCCGCGGCGGGGCCGGCCGGGCGGCCGGCGGGCGGCCCGCAGTTCAGCTCCTGCGCGCAGGTCACCGTCAGCCGCCGGCGGCCGCTGGAGCGGATCGTGCCCATCCGCATCGTGCAGCGCGCCGAGGCCGCCGCGGAGCTGGTGCCGGGCTCGCCGCGCAGCCGCGCCTGGCTGGAGGGCATCCTGGAGAGCGTGCGGCAGGCCGGGGGCGACGGCGAGGCGGCGGAGGAGCCCAGCAACCGCAGCCTGCGGCTCAGCGAGCACTGCCAGGCGCTGCAGGCGGCGGCCGCCGGCGCCCAGCCCGGGCTGGTTCCCGGCTGCGGCCCCGCGGAGCGGAGCGGCGGCCCCGCGCACGCCGAGCAGGAGGAGGCGGCGGGGCCCGACGTGCGGCGGGCGCCCGGCGGCAGAGCGGAGCGCAGCGAGAAGCTGGCGCTGTACCTGGCCGAGGTGGAGAAGCAGGACAAGTACCTGCGGCAGAAGGGCCGGTTCCGCTTCCACATCATCCCCGACGGGAACTGCCTGTACCGCGCCGTCTGCAAGGCGGTGTACGGGGACCAGCGGCTGCACGGCGAGCTCCGCGAGCAGACCGTGCACTACATCGCCGACCACCTGGACCACTTCAACCCCATCATCGAGGGCGACGTGGGAGAGTTCCTCATCGGCGCCGCGCAGGACGGGGCCTGGGCCGGCTACCCGGAGCTGCTGGCCATGGGGCAGATGCTGAACGTGAACATCCACCTGACCACGGGCGGCCGGCCCGAGAGCCCCACCGTTTCCACCATGGTTCACTACCTGGGGCCCGAGGACCCGACGCGGCCCAGTATCTGGCTGAGCTGGCTTAGCAATGGGCACTACGATGCTGTGCTGGACCGCGTGTGCCCCAACCCAGAGTACGAGGCGTGGTGCAGACAGACTCAGGTACAGCGCAGGCGGGACGAGGAGCTGGCCAAGTCCATGGCGGTGTCCTTGTCCAAGATGTACATTGAGCAGAATGCCTGCTCATGAGACCGCCTGGGCCGGGAGCTTCGCTGCAGGGACTGACAGAGAGGTGTGCTCGCTGTGATGGTGATGCCTTAATCCTTAATGAAGCAGCAGCACCCCAGACGGACAAAGACTGTAGGTTGCGGGGGGATAAATACAGACGTAGTTGTAATATTCTGTTGTAAAAACTTAGCCTCGGGTTATTTGCAAGCAGATTTCTCCGTGTATGTTTGTGTCTCCCCTCCCCACTGTCTGTTTTCTATGAGAATGTATTTTTTGCACACTATTTTTAAACTGTTACCTCCATCTTCTACATCTTGCATTAGTATCTGGCTTTCAGCTGTACAGCCAAAAACGTTTGTAAACAGTTTTTGTAAATAAGGCTTATGATGTAACAGCTATTTTTTGCTGTGTTTTTTACCCATAAACTTTATATTTTTACCAAATGAAGTTGATGTCAAACTGACCCCCCTAGTTGATGAAAATGTGTTTTTAAAAGTGCGGCAAAGTGAGAACAGACTGCTTTTAGGAACAATTGCTTTCTCTGCCTGGAGCACAGAATAGGTCCTTTGAGCCAGTTGGAATGCAGCTACACGTGAACAGTGCAGGGAGCAATTGACTCTTCTGTTTTTAATTACTGTTTTGAGTAAACTGGCCTCTTGTTGCCTGGTTGGCTCACTCTCTGCTCCACTTATATTATTTATCTATAATAACAGAACATTAACTTGCAATAGAATGTTGTGACTAGATAATAGTCTCCTGCTTTGGCAGTAATTGCCGTGGCTGCACCTCAGTGTTTGTGTTCTTGTTTCTGGGGCTATGGTGTCTTTCGTATAAGCCCTGCTTCTTTTTTGGCACTGGTGTTTCACCAACAAGTCATTATCTGATCACAACATTTTATTCACGTGACTTTATTTTCTAATCAAGAAATCAGGAATGGTATTCTACATTATGGTTTAAAAGAAAAAAAATACTTAAATTGAGGTTTGTATGGTTTGCTGGGTCAAACATTTAAATGTCTCCAATCTGGATTCTGTCTCTTCTACTTTCTGATTAACTTGTTAGATATATTTATTAAGTAATGCAGTTTGTACTTTTTTATTTTGTAATATATTGTGATTTCGGAATTTATACTGTATTTGTATAATAGGAATATTCACAGCTAAAATGGAATGAATAAAGAATATAATTTTACTTGTGCTCTTCTTTTCTGCCCTGTGCATTCCTGGTGTGGGGAAGAATTGCGGGTGGGTTCACAGGATCTTTTATAGCTTCTCTGCCTTAGTCTCTCCTACTGAGAGGTGGGAAGAAGGGGTGTGGTACTTTACAGATGTAAACCACTGATAATTCTGGTGTCTGTTAATATGTGAAAGAAATGCAGGCATTTAAAGACAATTGAATATCTAATTATTTTCTTACTGCAAGAGATCTTAGTATATGTGTTTGCTAGTGAGAAACCATTTCCTATATTAATATGCCTTAGAAGGGGAGTTCTCAGGCATAGTTTGTGAGCTCGTGGTGCCAGGGTTGGTGGTGAGCCAGCTCTGCTGGCCTGTGCACACGTGGGCTTGGACATTGGTCTTTGGGAACCTCCATTCTGCAGTTAGCCCCAAACTTGCTCGAGGTTTGTCCTGTCAGTAGTGATACCTTGGCACCCTCTTGTTACTCAAACACAGTAATGTTACAGGGAGGTACAGCTTTCTACTCCCCTTGCAAGATGGAAATGTCTTTCAGGTTGTTTAAACGTGTTTAGAAAAGTGCGCGTGTGTTTACAAATCAGTCCCTGATCTCAAAATGGTAAAACGTCTTCATCCTTAAACAACAGAAGGGTACTAAAGTTATGATTAAAAAGTAACTAAATAGCTGAAATGCATCAGTCTTAGTTGAGCACCTGTGATAGATCTGCGGGACTGATGTATATATTTATTACTGGTTTATGTGGTACAAAGAGTAGATTTAAATATTATGTTATTTTCAAAGCATTGGTAAATAGAATATTTTTATTTAATAGAGTATGTAAACAGTGGTGGAAAACCCCCAGTCTTTCTAGTCCACTGCTGCTTAACCCATGAATCTTCGGAAAGCTGAATTTTGAGGTGAGAGCATGGCAAAGATGCAGTCATGGATCTGTTCATAAGGAACAGAGGTAGTTTATAGGGAAAATGTCTATTCACATTACTAAAAATAAAGATATTAATACAGCATTACTAAATGTCAATGATGTGCTGACTAATTAAAAACATTTTATCCAGGCTGCTAAAGTTTTGGGTTGGATGTGATTAATTAATTCAAAGTTGTGACTATCCCAAACTTTAAAAAAAACCCACATGCATTTAAGTCTTCTAAAATGACTGTTTTTGGCTGTGTCATGAATTGTGATCACAAATTCTGTTTGTGTTTTGCAACACAAACCTCATAAATGCTCAGTAAGCTAAGCAAAAGGGATTGGTGCAGCATAATGTTCACTCTGTGCGATAAAAATGATACTAAAACATCACAAATAAACAAAGCAGTGTTAAAAACCAACTGTGTGGGACCTTGGGATGGGCTCCCACAGAGTTCCTCAGCAATCTATCTACTGCATGAGTCACGAGGGCATGCAGATAACTTTAAGGAATTTGAAAACTAGGTTACTTGTTGAACTAGTTTGCAAATACATGGAGGGTGTATTGCTGAAGCGTGTAACAAGGCACTTGTTTTTGCAACTTGCATTATGTACTGTGTCTAAAAGGAAATTGGAAAAATGGCATTGCAGATGTTTTGGACACATTGAAAGTGTGTTTTCTTTAATATCTGTGGTGTTTAAAGTTCAGCTAAGACACTAGGTTCAGATGCAAGCTAGTGGTGTATTGTTTGAACAGGAGTAGAGGCAGTTTCATGGACAAATTTTATGGAAGCAGTGATCCTAATGTGGACAGAGCTTTACAAAACTGCTTGTAACACTATTCTTACCCCCAGAAAAAGCAGAGGTAGATGCAAGTTTTCCTTTACTGCCCTGTATTCAACAATTCCAGTAACAAGGGAAGGACAGATATTGTCCTGGATCATAATTTCAGTGGCTCATTATTTTAACCTTGGCTAATTACTTACATAACCCAGCTAATCCTTAGGCCTGTCTGGGGACTTTGGTCAACAGACTTTTTATTATTGACAATAAGTCAGAAAAAGAGGTTGATTTTCAATATGCCACTTGCATGGTCCTATAAATCAGGTAGAAAATGCTTTAATTCTAAACTGAGCTAATGTGATCTTCAGTCGGTGGGAGCATAAGCTTTGTGATGTCTTTGCTTGTATGTTGTTACACAGTTGTGAATTAGTTGACATGTTGGATGCTGCATTTCAGGAGTTCCTTAGGTTGCCAAGACTATGACATTCTGTCACTAAATGTTCAAGGGATATGTTAAAATTGTTATGTGTGTTGAACGGACTTGGTTACATGAAGCAAGGAATCCCAAAATAAGGATGATGTGCAAGTAGGAAAGGGAAGATTTATGTAAGTATCACTGTTTTCCATTTCAGTCAAGGGCTTGCTCTTCAGAAAGTTAAGTGGTTGACACTTTGTGCTTAGTAACTTTCTCAGGACACACAGAAGTTGTCTAATGCCAGCTACAGCAATTTATCTCTCCTGTTGTATTTGGCTGATACATTACATGTGTGCAAGATATTTTACATTAATTCCACTTGTAAATAAAGGTGTGTTTCAGTATTTCTTATATATGTACATAGTCACCTGAATACAAGTATTTCTACTGTCTACTTTTGTTTTTATGATGTCAGAATTACTTGGTAGGATTTTTGAGGATAAAATTTCAATTTTGTTTTAGTGATTTGTCAGCGTGCTCGTGTATTGCTTCTGAATTCAAGCAGAAAATGATGGCATATCTCAAAACAGAGACAAGTACCTGGCAATAACTGTGTTTTGCTTATAATTTGCTTATAATATTTTATATTTATTCAACAGTTTATTGATATGTAGTTATAAGTGTTCCTAGAATGTTGGTGCAAAATGGTATAGAATGAAAAAAAATCCGGAGTCTTGTTGTTTAAAAGATTGTCTCATTTCAGAATTGCATGGTTGTGTGAAAATACACAGCATCCAGTGAGATAGTAACTGTTTGAAAGAACAGGTCTGCCAAATGCAATTGTGTAGTCATCAGAACTTTTTAAAGAAGCAAAAGATTTTAAACTTTGAATTTTTACTAACATACAGGCTGATTTGTAACATGTACATGTGTGTTTCGCTTGAAAAAGTGGCTTTGATATTTCCTGTTCAGTTTTCATTTATATTCTGTCTTTTTTATAACAAGTTTATACTATTAATGGATAAAAAGATACAGAAATGCAGTAATATCTTGTACTTCAGCCATTTTTTTTCTGGAGCTAGTATTTAAAATATGTTTATACAAGGAAACCTATACATAGTATTCAGACTGCAAATCAATGGAAATAAACCACTGTCACGTTCCAGGTTTCTGTGGCATGAGTGGTTATTACTCCCATATTCTCATAAATTTGTCCTAATTACTGAGTAAGATAGAGCTTCTCTGGAGAAAAGGTGAGTGTGCAATTGTAATGGCATGATGCATGTACACAGGGATGAACTCATCTTTCTTGTGTGATCTTAAATAATGACATTTGCTGCATTTTTAGTGTGCGTTTTTAAACCATTTTGCTTTTAATCCTTATTTTATTTCAATGAAGTTTTACTGGAAGTTGTAGGAAGCAAACGAATGAGTTCTTACAAGGCACGGTTGGTTAATAATGTTTGAACCTTCAGCACTGCAGCGCAGTTAAGCTGAGCACAGAGTGGCATCTTCAGGGAAGATGGCAATTGTAGGAGGTAAGTTGGAGCTGGGATCTGGCTGTGAAGGAGCCCAGGTCACCTTCTGTCCCTTCATCTCCCCTCCTCACCCCCATCCCCAGCAGCACATCCTGACTCTGGGCCGTTGGTCTGGTGGCAGCTCCAGGACCATTGCTGCTGCTCCCCGGGGCTCTCGTTACGGAGCTCCTGTACTGCCCAGCTTTTGGGGGCTGCAAATGAGGCAGGGATGCAACACTCATTAAAGAATGGGAAGGATTTCACGGGCAAAGACTTTTCTTTGGACACTTGGATGCTTTTCTTGCCTGTGAACTTTTATTAGTGAGTGTCAAAGACTTAAAGCATGGTTGAACATCAAGATGGTTTGCAAAGGTCAATGTGATTTTAAAAATCACATAAAGCATGTTAACAGATTTTTGAGAGTCAAATGCTGAATTATGCTGAAATACCTATTTTTTAAAAAATTAATCTATAATTACATTAGCAAAACCATATTTTTTTTCACAGGTACAAGGATCCAGCAATTTTCCTGCACAAAACTTCTATTTTTGCTGACCATAAAGTTTCATTTTCCAGCTGTTTAACTAACCAACATATCTGGGCAAGAAAATAATGATTTCAGATTTCTGGGTATGATTTGGAATTTGGTAAAGTCTGTCAATTTAACCCAATACCACTAAGTGCAATATTTCTTCCCATTGCTGATACTGTACTCAAGTTTAGATGTCTGCTTTTAGAAATAACATGATCATTGGAACTCCAACTGAGCTTCTTTTGATATTTTTTAGGGAGAGCCCATGGTTAAAATGTACTCCCTTTGTAAATAAACAAAACTAGTATGTTTTATATCTAAATTGCCTGTCTTCCATATGACTTAAAGATTGAGACATGACAAGCAGTTAAGCAGTTAACTAATGTGTTTATATGATTTGTTTGCTTTCCTGATAAACTTCAGCTCTGCTGGAGTAGGTTACTCAGAGGGACTGATCTTGCCTTTTGTGGTTTAAGGTAGGAGCAATGATAAATTTATTGTCTCAGTAATTACTAACACTATTCCTATTATTTCTGCAAACTCTATCTGCAATTTTTAAATTTCTTTTATTTTTGTTGATTATCAATCATAATGCCTATTCAGGATTAACAATAGAATGTAGTTACTCTGTAAACCAAAACCTAATTAAATAGGACATTTGAGTGAGTTTAGAAGGTGACAGCTGATTTTCTGTTTATGTATAATCAAGGGAAAAGTGGTGCCCAAAATGAAGTGGTTGTGAAAGGACTTGTTTTGCTCTGAAAGATGGTTATGTCAACTTATAGATCAGCATTGTGACTGCTGATGTAAAAGCTTTAATGCACTCGAATTTATTATTTCTTAATTATCTCACAACATCTTGCATTTTTGCTACACTCAGGATCTCTTTGCTACACAAGAGACTAATATTGCTAGGTTAGAAAGAAAATAATGTTTTGCTTTTAGATGTAATTGCTTTTTTTTCCCATTTATCTCTCACCATTCTAATATCCAGTGAAAGAGAGCTTTGACTTTGGGTGAGGAATGTTTGTGCATGTGGCCTGTGTTCTCCCTGAACTACTAAGTTGAATCCATGTAGAATAAGTTTTTTTTTTTACTTCAGATTAATACCCATAAGAATGGTGAATAAACAGTTGGCTAAAAAACTGCCTGTTATATACTGCATTTGGCTCAGCAAAGCTGCAGTCCCACTGGGAGTTGGATGGGAAGCAGCATTATAACAGCACAAGCTTTACACTTACCTGAAAACTTAATCTCCATTTAGTTATTTTGCTCTTAGTTTTTAGATTTTTTTGCATGCACATTATCTTACTTACCAGGAAGTAAATATTTATGGATGTTTTGTCAATTAGGTAGCTGTCCTTTTGGATATACTCATGATAATTCATTTGAAGCATTCACGTGAATGTGATTCCTGGTAGATTTCCATTTTCAGTTAGTATTTTACAGCAGTGGCCCTGAAGAGGCTATGCAACACCTGAAGTTGCTAGAAATTATACCAAACAATTAAAAATTCAGTTATTTGATGGCATTTATGTAATCAGATTCTTCTCCTTTTCTAGCTCTGTCCAGAGACAAATATTCCAAAATGGATAAATAAGACAACACTAGGATGTGTTAGGTGAATTAAAGAAGCATTTGTAGAGAAATGTCTTCCATATGACTTAAAGATTGAGTTACTGTTTGCAGTAACATATTCACCAAATATATTATTGCAAAGGGGGCTGTTGGGACACAGTAGTCCATATGCTCTTCCAAACTCCTTATTGTTACACTGAGGTTGTGACAATTTCAAACAAACAAAGCCTTAAAAAAAATCCCCAAACAAAAATGGCAAACAATTCCCAAAAAATGTAAACTTTTAGAAGCAAAACCCCAAGGGAAGCTGCTCTGGGCAGGCTGTGTTTGTGAGGAGCCATTGTCACAGGGACAGGTTATATAACAGGAACCTTGGCAGTGGCCTGGGCTCTGACATCTACAGGAAATCGTTTTGCCAACTGGGCTTCTACCCTGAGAGACCAAGTAGGTGATATTCAATGCTCTACTTCAGTCAAGGGATTGAGTTAATCTCTGCTAAGACTTTTGGTGCTTCCTCAAGCCTTTGAGCTTTATCTCAGTGCTCTCTGGATTAAGCTCTTGCCAGTCAGCAGCTGTATCATGTCTCTTTGGGTCACCTGATATTGATAGAGGCGGCAGACAAGGTTCTGTTCTGTCCTTATTTTTCTGTCCTCCATCATATCCCATTGGTGTCTTATGTCACTCCTGTCTAGTATGAAGTGTGAGGAAAAAGAAATTGTACACCACTAGAACGTGGAATCAGTTCTATCTCTGTTCACTCGGAAGTTCTCACCAAAAAAAATACAAATCTGTGCCAAGTCAGTTATACTTGCTTTTAAAGTTTACTTTTTCATTTTTCCTTTTCCTATCTTGAGATTAAATATGAACAGAGATCTTGTTTCTTGGAAGTCCAGTCCAAAATGTATTGTAGAATTTTCATTTGATGAAACATGATTTATGTGTTGTTTTCAATTTCACAACGTTGTGGTGTAATTCAAGCACAGAGCTGTGAAAAGTATGTTTATAAAGTAGCATTAATTTCACCTTTAAAGGCTTTTAAAGTAAATGTTTGTAGCTGGGTTCACTCTGATAAATAGTGAGGGAATTCTGGATGGGAAATATGTGAATAGGATGTTATAAAAATATGACATTTCCTGTTCTTATGCACTTTATTGTAATTTTCCAGATTTAATTTCTTCAGGGGAAAAATAATTTGAGTATGGAGCTTAATTTAGCTCTTTGCTGCTGTGCTGCTGGGCAAGTTCATTCCAGCAAACCCCTGAACTTTGTCACCTTCCTGAAAGATCAGCCCTTGCCTCTAGTTATTTCAGATGAGGAATTAAATGCAGAGTCTATTTACTCAGATTCTTGAATTAAAATCTTTGAAAGGGAGAATGTAAAAGCTACAGCTCTATGGAAGGCCACTCATCACCTGCACCATGTTTGAAATGCCATTTTTGACTTGTCTTCCTTCTATGCTGCCGAGTGAGATGCAGAAAGAGAATAACTGTGCTAGTCCTTTGGGGAATGTTTGCTGTGCAGAACACAGTGCTGGGCAGAGATGCCACCGAGCTCAGCAGGGGCAGCAGCATCACACAGTGGTGCTTGTTAGGTAGAAGGAAAAAGCAGGTCTCTGAAGGAGGCAAGTAGGATTCTGACTCCCAGGGTTATTTTGCTCTCTCCCCAGTGCATGCACAGGGTCCTGGGTTCATTGTCAACACTTGGGAGCACAGGTCAGTTTTTAAGGATTTAGCTCTATGGACTCGGTTTGAAGGTATTACTTGGTGCATGGCTGCCATGCAACAATCTTGCAATATCAAGCTGCAATAATTTTATGAGGAATATGTAGCCCTGGGATAGAGCTAAAAATACTGTATTACATATACAACTTCCATGTATAAACAAATTGCTTTTTAATAGGAAGCCATGGTGACTAAAAGCAGGAAAATGTTATAGCAGTTGTAAATAACATAAATCACTTCTCAGCAGTTCTGGTGAAGATGAGAGGGAATTACATAACAGCTGCTTTCCAGCCCCAAGCTAATATGTCTTGCCTGCATTGCCAGTTCTTGGGACTCAAAGATCTGAATTGTCACCTCCCACCTATACTACAACTGCAGAGTGCAGAAGGGTGGTTTAAAATAATGGATGTTCCACAGTCATATTTCCGTGAAACATGCAAACTTGGTCCTGTTAGGGTGTTGGGGTTTTTTTGGGTGTTCCCCCCGACTCCCCTGAAGATTTAGGAGGAATTTGACTGTTCTCAAAATCATATGTAAACTCAAAAGGTCAAAATGCCGACCCAATACACATGCAAAAATTGTTCTTTTGCTCTGGCTAATTAAAAAATATGTCTTTTGCTCCCCATTGTCCCAGGCAGGGCTGTCACTGCTCCACCAGTTTGTATTTCCACCTCCGTCTGCTGCATTGCTCTAATTTTGCTCTTGCTGCCTGTGCTGCTTTTGGCTGGAATAGAGTTAATTTTCTTCAGAGTGACTCATATGGGGCTGTGTTTTAGGTTTGTACTGAAAACAAGGTTGATAATATAGAGATATTTGT